AACTTTTGTTAACTACAAGTTGCCCAATTCGTTTAATACAAAAAATATATGTGTTATTATAAAGAAAAGCTAAATAAATAACTTTAACTTTGTTATATTATTTTTATTTAATTTTTAGTTATTAGTTTATTATTTATATAAATTAGTTAAAATTTGATAATTATGCGAAAGCAGAATCATATACAATATTTGAATAAGACTTAGACTTATTTTTTAATTTAAATTTTGAACAATTGCAAGTAAAATTCATATTTATGCTATTAATAACATAAATAACATTATAAATTAATCTATGTTTATAAGATTTTTAGTAAATTTAATACATAGTTTAAAGCCAATTGATGACCAAGGGGGGTACCTCGATCGGTACGAAATCCTTAGAAAGTTAAGGATCCTGAGGGAGATAAATTGTTGTTTTGGCGGGTCGCACTGGGTAAATACTTGGTGAGTCTTTTTTAGATTAGAGCATTACACTATATAGTCAATTATATATGTATAATTAGTTAAATAGTGGTTCAAATAAATAAAGACAAGACTGCTTAAAAAAAAAAAAAAAAAATACATAGTTTAAAAAATAATATTGTTCATCGGGAAACTAAATATGGTGCAGATCTGCGCAGATCTGCGACCCTGGAAATTTTTAATAAATTTCACGATATCTCATGATATATCGATCAGAATTTAACAAAACCGGTACCATTCGAACCGTCTCGATGAGACGGATCGAATGGTACTAAATTCATCAATATTCGATTACTGGATCACGAGAAAATCACATTTAAGTGAATTTTCCAGCCACCTCACGAACTTATTAACCAGTGGTCCAAATTTAATGATTTTGGTACCATTCGATTCCTCTCGATGTGACGGTTCGAATGGTACCAAAAACGTTAAAATCAGATCACTGAGATCGCGAGATATTCGTAAAATACGTTTCGCAGCGCAGTTTTGCGCAGATCTGCGAATTTTTTTGTGCAGATCTGCGCAAAACTGCGCCGCGAAACGTATTTTACGAATATCTCGCGATCCAGTGATCTGATTTTAACATTTTTGATACCATTCGAACCGTCTCATCGAGAGGAATCGAATGGTACCAAAATCATTAAATTTAGACCACTGGTTAATAAGTTCGTGAGGTGGCTGGAAAATTCACTTAAATGTGATTTTCTCGTGATCCAGTAATCGAATTTTGATGAATTTAGTACCATTCGATCCGTCTCATCGAGACGGTTCGAATTGTACCGGTTTCGTTAAATTCTGATCGATAGATCATGAGATATCGTGAAATTTATTGAAAATTTCCAGGGTCGCAGATCTGCGCAGATCTGCACCATATTTAGTTTCCCGATGTTATTTTTCATAAGAGGTTTAGAGAGCTTAATAAATAATCTTAAGTAACCAGATAATCTTATCTGACATTTAATGTTATGCGTCAAATTAAAAGTTATATAGATCAAAATTTACTTCGGAGTATCATTAGAATAAGTAATTTTGTAAGAACTACTTACAACTTATCCTTTACTTAATATATATTGCGTAATATTAAGTAAGAATAGATAATAATTTTGCCCATCTCCAGGGTAGGCATTAGTTTTTTAATTGATGCACAGCATTAAGTATTAGGTCAGGTCGGTCATTTGAACTGGATCTGACATAATCTATTCGGAGTTCCAATTACATTATTAACAAATTAAAAATCACTATTATTAATTTCGGCACATTTACGAAAGTAACTAACTACCCAATGTTAATTGTCTAATATAATACGTAATCATAATATCAATAGTTTATTACATGTGACCTGGGTCATTTTTCAATTGGTGGCAATGAAATGGCTCATGTCAATTAGTAATTAACATAATTAACAGTTTAAAAATAACAAGGTTTAATTTAATAGCGTGTACTTTTACTAGGTTTTGGAGCTAAATCAACATTAACATTAATCAATAGTTACAAATAATAGTTAAAGAAAAGTTGGTCTATTCAAAATTAAGAACTAGGTATGCAAGTTTCAAGTTGACAAAGCTTAGATAATATATACTAATAAAGTCTGTCATTGTATTACCAAGGTAGTACAATTTAGTGTCAGCGTACAAATTCTATTTATGTTTATGGTCATTTACATATATTTTTAGTTTCCCAAAGCTTGTGCCACTTCACAGAAGTTTATTTCACAGACACCTTGTTTCACAGACAATCAGTTTATAGGCAAGTTTATTTAACGAATTAATTTACAGACAGTTCATTTTATAGACAGTTCATTTTATCGACAGTTCATTTTATAGACAATCTTAATAGCAAATAACTTCTGAATCAGAGTTAAAGACTGTCTACAAAATGAAATACCTATAAAATGATCTGTCTATGAAATGAACTGTCTGTAAACTAATTGTCTTTAAATAAACATGTCTATGAATTGATTGTCTGTGAAACAAGGTGTCTGTGAAATAAACTTCTATGAAGTGATACCGTAACCCTCTTGACATCGTAATCTCATTTATTTGCTCTTTCTTTGTTTATCATTTTTTTATTCATTAAAGATGTATAATGTCAAACGAATTAAGGATTTGCTCTTTCATAATCAAAATTTTATACGTGGTTTTATATTTGGATTTATTATTTTAGAAGGATCATTATTTACTTGGCTAATTATTACACTTAATAATAGTCCTAAGTTTGACTATTATCGACAGGAAATAGTGTTATTTCTTTGGATATCATTTCTTTTCCTATTTTTTGCATTATAACCGCTCACGTAATTGTAAGCTTTATTTATATATATATATTATATAATTGAATTGAATTAAGTCTTCATCAGATATTTAATATTCATTGCAAATTTAGACGGTTTTCCGAAGCAAAGCCCACATTATTACTTTCTGGCTAACAGCTATTCTCATTAGAGGAACTATTTATGGAACGTTGACTATACTAAATATGAAAGGATCACTAACAAATAGTTATTCTGTCATCACTATTTTACCATATACGTATATCATATGCATTGATTTTTCTGTTTTTGTAATTTTTCATATCTATATATCATATACATCATGGTAAACTTTAAGTTTCAATTGTTTATATTAAAAGATATATTTAATCATTGATCACTGATATTAAATTATCTATATTACTTTTATTATAAAGTATTAGCAATGATTTATGCGCAGAAAAGTTTAAAAGTAAGTTAAATTTTTCACGGTTTAATTATAGTTATTTTACACTAAATAATAAATCTTTTAATTACAGCCATAATTATTTGGTATAAAAGATTAATTTCTTGTGTCTATGTTATTTCATATATGACTGTTTTGGTTCTTATTGGATATTTTAAAATTTGGGGTTTGTCGGATTACCCCCTATTTACTGATGCAGTATATTTTGGATTTATTCCGCTACACATCTCTATTATTTTTGTAATTCTTAAAGGAGTAAGTCATATATCAATATATATTTTTGATAAATGTTAATTATAATTATTAACAAAAAAATTTTTTTCAAAGGTGCGATCAGAATCAAAAATATTTATGTACATTTATTATTTAATTAGTGTAATACAATTAGTATATTACATACAAGCATTTTATGAGACGTATTCAGATTTTAAATTCCTAAACGATAATAATAAAAATACACTCTTTGGAATGATAGTGATTGTTTATAATATTTATATGTTTCTAATATGTATGTATACTAAGTTGTAATTTTATTTCATTGCTTCTGTTATAATGTTTATATTACTTAATGTTTAATTATAATCCTGTAGTATTTGGCTTAACTTGCAATGCATTGTTTATGATGTTTTGTTCCTATAAATGCAAAAAAAACTTCGGTAAAGGTTTAAAAGATTATAGTAAGTTTTAATTTTAATATTTTTAATTTCAATCCTTATCTAAATCTTTCAATTTAGTGAAATTTTCATCTAATTATTATTATTATTGTTATTGTTATTAGTTATGTGTTCTAATTTTTCTCGTGAAGATTATGAATATAAAGATGACATTGATGAAAGCTTTTATGCAATTAATAATATTAACTGATATGTTTATCTATCAAATTTGGCCTTTATTTTTTTACATGTTAATAGATTAAAGATAATCTATGCTTTACTATTCAAAATTTCGCTCTTATTTGTTATAAAATAGCATATTATATATATATATTTATATGTATTTGCCATAATTCTATTTCGGCTCTTCATAAGATCTGCTTTTTAGATAAGATATGGGATATATTAGGCCAAATAAAACCTTGAGACCTTCTTTATCATTTCTTACAAACTTGTATAAAAAAACAAGCTTTCAATTTTTTACGATAACATGTTTTACTAAAGTACATAAAAGTACTTCGTCTCTAAAATAAATGCACAGTTCTAAAATCGGTCTTTAATCTTAACTAATGCTAGGCAAACCGAATAAATACTGGATGTTAAAATTCAAATACTTGCACCGAATAAGTTTTTTTTTATTAATCTAACCTTATTTCTTAACCTCGTAAAAGATTTTTTCATGAATTTCTGGTTTTAATAGTGGTAATATTTTTAAAATTGCCTGAGAATTCTTGAGATATTGACTCTCAAATATGGCAAGAATTATTTTAAATTTTTAAGTTCGATATATTCGAAAGCCAATATCTCGAGAACTACCAAGCAGATGACACCATTAGGAACAGAAAATTGTGAAAAATAACTTTATTAAGAAATAAGATTGGCTTAATAAAACTTATTTACTGTAGAGAAAGTATTTGAATTTAATAACAAATCTTTATTTGATTTTGCTTAGCACTAATCTCAACCAAATTCCTAAATCGAAAAAATTTTATAATAAATAAAAATTTTAGAACATATAACGTTAAAAACTATAGATATCTTTTATAATAGAAAATAATATTTATAATAAACATGATGAATAATAAGATAGATCTAATTATATTTTAATTGCTAAATATATGTTATTACAATAACTAAATATATTATTGTATTATCTTTTTTCTTAGAATCATCATTGTGGAATTCCATCTTTCATCAAAGTATCATTCTCATTTACATTTACAACGATATCATCTCGTAATAAATTATCACCTCCCAAGGCATTGTTTTTATCCTGGTATCTAACACATCTTGTACGTATTTCTTTTAATGTTACTAAAGAACTATCATCCAAGAAAAATTCTCTTAACAATGTTTCTAATGTCGCAATTCTATTTTCTACAGTGGCATTTGGAGGCAATTTGGATGGATTTTCAACCAAAGGAATTCCAGCTTTAGAAACATATCGTTTCATTAATCGACGTATATAATTTTCACGAAGATTCCAACAGCATGCATATTTTTGCACGATACCCCTATAAATAGATAATATTTGAATGATGTCAATAATGAAAAATTTTATGTTGATTGCCGAAATGCTAATTAACTTTTTATCTTACCAAGGGGTGAGTAGAGTTAATACCTCTATCCGGATTAATATATCCGGATATATACTATGTCATGTGATATAACGTGACATAATGTTTTTATATCCGGATATAAATATATCCGGATTTAAATTTATATCCGGATTTATACTATGATAAAACCGGATTAATCCGGATATAAAAAATATATCCGGATTGAGGTATTAACTCTAGGGGTGAGTTTTGCAGATCCAAAAAGTAAAATGTATATTCCAATAAGTGCTCCATAAAGACCACCAGTACCTGAAACAATAGAACTAACTATAACAAAAAGATTTATTTTTCATTAAAAAATTAATTCATTAGAAAATTTTCAAATAATTAGTTGTATACTTACTACTATAGTGAGAAATATAATCCTCATAATATGTAATATTGTCTTTTGGCTGCAATACCAAAGTAGTATATGAGGAATTTGAAGTTTGTTGAAGTTCTTTTGTTTCAGTATCAATAAATGCTTCCACTAAATCAGGTTCGAATCCAAACGTTTTAGCTAACAGAGAACTATGTTTTCTCCTTATAGTAGTAGAAAATTTGAATATAATCAACTGTCCCTTGTTAAATGGGTTCATATTAAATCTCAAACGTGGAGGAATTTTAGTATTCATTTCCGGAAAAGCAAAATTAAATCTTACAGCCAAATGATCAGTAGACGACGATACATTTAAAGTAATATTTAATATAATAGCCTTATAAGAATTATTTAACATACGTATATTACATAATGAATCATCGCATTGTAACTTTTCCTCATAAAACTTTATCCTCTCGGAAAAATTAAACGGTGAAAAAGCCCAACAACCGTTACTAGTGTAATTAATATTATCATTGCATGATTCCGTCAAATTATCAACAGGTGCATTACATGTAATATTAGAAATCTTAAGTTCTGAATCGTATGAAATAGGAAATTCACTCGGATCATATGGATTATTAATATTATAATATTCATTCTCATTATCAATGTTTAAATCCTTGTTCAAGTCTTTAAAAGACGTCTATTAGTTAGAATTCTTTTTTCAAGAAAAAAAATTGGTTTCTAAAATAATACCTGTGGGGCATATTGAAAAATCTAAAAGTTATATATTATTAATCATGCATGCATCTAATATTCATATAGAAAATACTCTGAATAATTATATTGTTTATAATACCTGGAAATATTAGAGATGGTGGATTGCTAGCAGAAATAGACAAATCCGAATAATTAAAATCATATCGTACTCTTTGAAGATAATGGATAAAATATGATAAAACGGCAATAAAAAGTAATATTATCAGAATTAGTCTGAATGCTCTGAAACAGAACGGTTCAACAGAATGAGTTGATCTAAATAATTTAAAATCATTTAAAATAATCATCTTGCAATCTCAAAAAAATTCTGCTCTATATTAGCCAAAAATTTAGAGCGTATTACTCAGTATTTCAAATTCATCTTTGTATATTTATAATAAGAAATTGTATAACCAAAATAAAGATTTTTACTTTCATGGTTGTATTTTGTAACCTTTGCGTTAGAAATTAGTGACTCAGTCGGTCTAATTTAATTGCTATATTACTGTACGTATTGTTCCACCCATTCTCTACCTCCTGTTGTATCACATGTTTTCATCTTCATTTAATAAATAGAAGAGTCCATCATTCATAATTCTGTCAATTTGTTATTAGTCTGGTCAAATTACCTACAAATTTTGAAGTCCTAACAATTTATTGTTACCCGTCAATAGCGACGAATTTCCAATTGTTAGTAAAGAATTATTAATTTTTAGGTATTAAATATGCCAATTTAAGTACATAGTATAATATCATCTCTATCCACTAATCTCTGCAATTCAGGTTATGTATTTACCTTTTATAAATCATTTAATTCGGTGTCTCAATCAAAAAAGTTGTTAAGTGATATTATAATACCTCATCTCCGAATTTTGTGAGATTACATAGTATTTCGCACGAGAAATATGTTCAATTAAGTGATCACTTTATGATCATAAAGTTTTTTTCTTAATAATAAAAATAAAAAATATGTCCTTTTATATAAATTAAAAGATAAAAAAGGATAATAAACTTGAGGTATAAAAAAGTCACATGCTTTTTCACGCAATAAATATAAAGGCAGAAGGTATTAAAAAGCCTTATGCTTTTCACAATAAATTTAATATTCTACGTAAAATAGATTGACTCGAGCGAATATGTAAAATTGATCTATTTTATCTTGCATGAGATACATAATGCAATAACTTGACGTTCGAAATATTTATAAAACCACTGACTTCCAAATCACAACTTTACACTAATAGACGTCTCAATATTTAAACTTTTACATAATACATGATATAGATTAACACATAGAATATTTTATTGCTAATGCCAAGTATATATTTTATAATAAGCTATATATCGTATATATTACAGTATTACCGAATTAAAGCAACTTCCGACTTAGATCCAAAATTACTGAATTAGGAGGTTGTTAATAAATTAGACCAGAATACAGTACGCGTAGAAGCAATTTCTTAACTTTAATCCGATACTTTTATCCAAAAACATACGATATATTTAAATTCATAAAAATTTTGCATCTCTTATTTATAATTACCGTATTATCACTACCTGTGCGTTATTTAGAGTACGTGCATGAACGTTATTTTTAGGCAAATATAAAAATCAAATAACGCCCATGTGCGTTATATAGGTAAATTTTAAGTATGATAGTTCAAGTATTTAAACCAGTTTTTAGCAATGAATCATCCAACTGGCTTTAGGACGTTCTCAAGCACATACCTCAATGAATTCAATAAAAATCTGATTGGCTAGTTTGATTAAACAGACCAATCAGATCGCCCTTAGTGCCAATTTCAAAACTTTGCCTAAACTATGAGACAAATTTTGTGCAGTTAAGTAATTACAATCTGCCTATGATATTTCTCAAATTTCAGCATGTATTTTTTTTCGGAATTATAATTATCCGTCTTTCAGAATTAAAAATACGTACGTATTTGGAATTTAATAATTCCATTTTAACCGTTTAATTCAGGCGCACTAATATCATTCATGATGATTTTGGCCAATGATCAATCAACATAATTCAGGCCAGGAGCCTGAAACAACTTTACGCTTTTAGAATATGATATTTTTGTGAAACTCGTTTTTGCTAAATTTATTCTAGAAAAATGATGAGATCTACGAGTGAGAAAAAATGTTTATAAATAGGATCATTATTCTGTAGATGAAAAAAGCAGTACAAGTATGATAAGTAGAAAATATTTATACAACGTAACCACTTTTGTAACACCATATCTTTCCTCTTTTTCAAAAAGTTACGTTAAGGATGTTAGTGTTAAGAGTATATTTAATAAGTCGTGCAAAAGGACACGTTGCACAAATGTTAATGCCAAGAAAGTAGCGATAAGATCTAGATTTGTAATAGCCAATCATATCTCCAATGGGTATATAATTGGCACCCAAAAAAAATTTTTCTCATCAGTCTCGAATAAGATGTCTATTGCTTCATCCTGTGGATCGCTTCCTCCTGTAAAAAGTGATTATGTGCCAAAGGGCATCACTACAAAAATTTCTGATTTAGATGTCTATTGTGCAATTCCTGACACATTCGCTGAAGCTCAAACTAAAAATGCGGTTATCGTCTGTTACGATATATTTGGTTTTCATGAAAACGTAAAACAAGTTTGTGATATATTAGCATCTCAAGGTTAGTAATAAAATTACATAAATTTGTTTTCTACAATCGCTGTTGTTTGCAAAAAAAAAATGCATGATTTTTCAACCCGATTTCTAATAGGATTCCTCGTTGTATTACCCGATTATCTTCGAGGGGATTATTGGACTACTGAAAGATTTGCGAGTGAAGGGTAGGCTTCAAAATGAAAGAAAAGCATTCATTTTTTATTTAAATAATTTTTAACCATTTCTTATATCCTTTTACCAAATTATTTCGACTAAAGAAATCAGTTACGTGATTGGCTAGAAAAAAATGCTCCTCCTGAAAAAGTTCTTCAACTCACTACTCCAGTTGTAGAGCATATACGCAAAGAACATAAAGTTCAGAATATTGGATATATAGGATTCTGTTGGGGTGGCATGATTGCTTCTAAACACTGTAAAGATCCTGCATTCGACGCTTGTATATTAATTCATCCAGGATTTTTGAAAATTGATGACTTTAAGGAGAGTCAATGTCCTATTGCGTTTATACCTTCTAAAGATGAAGCTGATCTTGTAAGTTTCTTATGATTGTTTACTAAAGTTTAAACTGTATTTTATATATATATATACATATATATTTTTTTTTTTTTAAAAAAAAAAAAAAATTAAATAGGAAAGCCAATTTGTTAAAGATCCAGTTCTTACCAGCAAACCATATGCTAGCAAAATCGTTCATCGTAGATTTGATAATCTTCACCATGGTTTTGCAGGAGCTAGGGGTAATTTTAAAGAGCCGGCTAATGTTGAAGCTGTAAACGAAGTTATTACAATTTGTGTTAAGTTCCTTAACGAGAATTTGGGTGTGAAATATTAAATTTTGATTTGTGATTTGTGCGATACATTTAATTGTTTTAAAGTATATATTCAACAAGAGTTTTATATGATGTATAAATTATTTTTTTTGAATTGTTTATTATTATCTAACGTTATATGCGAATAAAGCTATATTACTTATATTGCTGCAATGTTCATTTCTAGTGAAAAACACTTCCCTAAAAATAATGATAATAATAATTGTAATAATAATAAGAGTTAATAAATTTGTAACCGCGGTTTGTAACCGCATCCAATAAAGCCAATCAAATTTTAAGATCAGGTGTAACGTGAAATCAAAACAAAAATTGTTTTTTTA